TGCCGATATGGTACAAATATGTACACTGCAGCCCTTGCCTCTGCTGCATTCCTCTGTGCTCTCTCCCTTGGGCCCCGTTCTGTACTTGTGCACCCCAGCCTTCCTGCCCCTTTGCTGCCTACTCTCCCACTCACGCTGTCTCGGATATTATGCATCCTTCTCAGGCTCAGAATACCGCGACAGCTGTCGGAAACTCTCCCCGTGCTCAGGCTAACCCCCCTCTGCTTCTCAGGCTGCCGGTTCAACTGCACCCAACTTCTGCCCGTGCCCTCTCCTTGCTTCTGGTACCCGTGCTGCTGCACTTCCTGCAGTTTAACTCTGACTCTTCTGTAGGTGTTCTCCCTGGCCCCTCTTCACTTGCCCCCTCTGGAGCAGGCTAAGGCTCCTGCTTGCTCTGATCCAGACAATCTGCACTCCTTGCGCGCGCTTTCGCCGTGTTCGTGGTGTGATCCCTCACTCTCCTCCCTTCCTGGTTCTCCAGCACCACCACCCCTGACTCCCGCACTTCCACCACCCTCCATCGTTCTTCACTGAGGCCGTGGTCCAAGGTGTGCTGTCTCGCGGTCCTTCGGTACACCTCCTGTCCTGCCTGCAGTAGACCGCCGCTGGGTGGCTTCTGCCCGCCCAGCCTCTGCTGATACCTATGCGCATCTCGCAGCTGCGCCACGTGCAAATTCTCCATGACCGAGGGCAGCAGAGTGCGCAGGTAGTCACCCCTCGTCTTGGCCAAGGCTGCCCAGAGTTCTGGCGTGCCTGTGGTCACCACGTCCGTCAGCACCTTGGGCGCGCCCACCGGCAAGATGGGCTCCCGACCATACAGCAAGTAGTAAGGGGAGACGTCTCGCAGCGCCGCCTGCTTGCTGAATCGATAGCCTGCTGCCACCCAGTGCAGATCCTCATCCCAATTGCGCTTGTGCGCCTCTCCGTATGCCCTGAGTCCCCGTTTGAGTGTCTGCACCATGCGCTCCGTGAGCCTGTCAGCCTGAGGGTGGTAACGCGAGGTCCTTCTGTGCGTAATCCCAATGGCGGGCAGTGCCTTGTCAAACTCTCCTCGGAACTCCGTACCCTGATCTGTGAGAACTTCTCCGCATGCCCCCATCCGGGTGAGCACCTGTTCTGTGAACGCCTCGGTCACCAGTGCCGCACTCTTGCTACTCAATGCGCGTACCTCCACCCACTTGCTGACATGCTCGATCATGACCAGGACGTACCGCTTGCCCCGCCTACTCAGGGGCAACTCCCCCGCCATGTCCAAGGACCACCTGTAGCCCAATCCTCGAATGGGTAGTGACTGCAGCTGCTGCTGGCTCTTCTCCAGCTGGGCCTTGTTACGGTCGCAAGCCGTGCACTGGGCCACATAATCCTTGATCTGCCTAGCCATTCCTGCCCACCACCAGCCTGTGTTGACTAGCTGGGTAGTCCTGACGTGCCCAAAGTGTCCCAACTGCCGATGCACCCTGCTGATGATGTCCTCCCTCTCTGCGGGTGCAGGTACCAGCTTCCATCCTTCCTTGGTCCTCAGCTGCACCTGCCCTGCGTACCACCGATAATGCTGCCCTCTCGCTCGTGCCCTTTCTGAGGCTGGCTCGTCTGCTTCCGTCTCTCCCCGCAGCCATCGGAGCGTCTCCTCGTCCTGCCAGATGTCTGCGGCTCCGCGCTGCTCTTGACGCTGCTCCCCTTGCCTCTCCGCTTCCCTTGCCAGTGCCATGAGTTCAGCTACTGGCTCTGACGCTGGCGGGTTGCGTGACAACCCGTCGACGTGCTGCAGCGTTTTCCCTGGTCGGTGCTTCACCACGAAGTCGAACTCCTGCAGGCGCATGGCCCATCGTGCGTTGCGGCCTGTCAACGTGTGGTTGGTCATGAGCCACAGGAGCGGCTGATGGTCAGTGACCAAGGTGAATTCCCGCCCCTGTAGGTATGCGCGGAAGTGTGTCACTGCCTAGACCGCTGCCAGCCCTTCTCCTTCATAGGAGCTGTAGTTTGCTTCTGCTGCGTTGCAGCTGCGGCTTGCAAATTCGACTACTCGCTCTCCTTGCTCAGTCTGCTGGCAAAGCACCGCGCCCATGCCCGCGCTGCTCCAGTCTGTGTACAGTGTGAACCTGGCATCTGGCTTCGGCAGCAGCAACACTGGCCCTGACTTCACTGCCTCCAGCAGGTCTTGCAGTGCCCCCTGCTCTGCCTCTCCCCACTTCCACGCCACATCCTCCCGCAGGAGCCTGTTCAAGGCTGCTGCCCGCTTGCTAAAATTGGGCACGAACTTGCGGTAGTAGTTCAGGAAGCCCAAAATTGCCCGTAGAGCAGAGCGGCTGTCCGGGACTGCCAGCTTGTCTAACACCGCGACCTTTGCTTGCTGGATTGACATTTGCCCCCCGCACACTTCGAATCCCAGGTACCGCACCGTGTTTGTCCCAAAGCGACATTTCTTGGGATGGCATGTGAGCCCTGCCTCCCTGATTGCTGCCAGCACCTGCTCTACATCCTTCACATGCTATTCTGGCGACGCGCTGAACACCACCACGTCGTCTATGTAGCAGGCCGCGCAAAGCTGCAGTGCCCGCAGTACTCGATCCATCGCCTTTTGGAATACTGCTGACGCGTTCTTCAGCCCGAAGGGCATGAATTGCCACTCGTAGAGGCCGTCCGGCCCATGGAACGCTGTCTTCCTCACTCGGCCTCCACGATGCGTATCTGGTTGAAACCCTGGCGAAGGTCCAGGGTGCTGAAGATTACCGCCCCCGGCAATTTGTCAAATATCTCCTCCGGTGTTGGCATATGGTAGCGATTGGCTACCGTCAGTTTATTGAGGTCCCTGTAGTCGCCGCACATGCGCCGGGACAGCACCTCTCCCGAGAGCTCCTTCCTGGCGGCCACTACGGTGGCTGCCGCATACTCTGACTCCGAGGGCCTGATGAGTCCTGCCTCCAGCAGCTCCCGACACTTCTCCCTGCACACATCGAGGTCCCCTGGGCTCATGCGGCGCTTACGTTGGTACACTGGCACTTCCTCTGTCAGACGGATTTCCATCTCTCCCCCGTTGTACTTGCCCAGCTCCAACAGTGTGAAGGCGAACGCCTGCCGGTTTTTCCTCAGTACCATCCACATCTGCTCTCGCAGCTCTCCCTCCAATCCTTCTCCAACTTCCCATCCTTCCTCTCCTTCTGTCGTCGCCTGGTTCGCCCCCTCGGTCTTTCCTCCTGATGGTTCTGCCTCCAGTCCCTCTGCTGCAGCTGACTCTGGCTGGTCTTGATCCGTCCCTGTCTCCTCGTCTCCGCTTGCTGTTGGAGGCCTGCTGGTCGGCTCTGCTTCTTCGCTTGTCTGTAGTGCCTCCAGCGCCATCAGTGCCCAGCCTCGCTCCCTCTGCTGCTGCTTTTCCACCTGCATCTCCAAGAGTAGCTGTTCTGCTCGCTGCTGACTGGCGCGCACGTCCTGGTCGCTTGCGTCTCCCGGGCCTCCCACTTCCCTCTCCATCTCCAACTGCTTGGAAGCGAGGTGTGACTGGATCACGTGCATCAGCCAGTGCATAGCCTCGACGTCCATCGCTCGCCCTAGCGCTTCTCTCCGTCTGGCCTCTTCCACTCCTGGCGCAGCCGTGGCATCTGGGACAAACCCCATAGCCAGCTCCCGCTCCTGAGCCGTGGGCTCCTCCCAGCGGTTCTTCAGCCGGTCAAACACCATGCCTGGGCCGGGTAGCCCCTCGCTCCACACGAACCCGTGCGCCTCATGGTGTGCCATGAGGGTGGGCCACGCTTCTCTTGGGTGCCCTGGCTCGTTGCACTAGAACTGACTCGGATGGTCCGGTTTGACCACTGGCGCTGGCTCCCGGTGAGCCTCCAGAATCTCTTCCACGAGGCGTGGCGAGGGCCTTTCCGTCTGTATGAGCTCCCATCTCAGCCTTCCTTCCGACATCCCATTCTGCCAGTACCGTCTGACTCTGTGCGCGTAGGACCCCTGCTGCACTGAGTCCCACGCCACCCCTGGTCCCAATGCTTCTGCCACCACCTCCATCATCCAACGCACAGGCTCCCTGCAGTCCGTTGAAAAGTCTGGATTCTCCAGGATGTACAAGTATTCCCCATGCTGCTGGTAGACCAGCTTCATGACCCGCAGCAACTCCAGAAACAGTGTAGACCTGGGGTCATCCAGCCCTTTTCCCTTCCCGGCTCTTGACACCCCTTGGCATTCCCACCCCGCTACGAGCAGGTCCACCCTGCCCCATCGCCGCACATCCTCAGCCACCACCTCCCTGATGTCGTTGATCTGTTCTTCCTCTGCCTCTGCCTCCACACCTGACATCAGCTGCGTTGGGTATAGTCCCCTGAGCATCCTGGCATGGTTGAATGCCATCCTCCGCACCAGAGGATCCAGTTCCACTAACACCCACTTCTTCACTCTGCATCCTGCCTTCAGCGCCACCGCCAACCCAGTACCGATCCCACCGAAGAGTTCGACTATGGTGATCGGCTCCTGTAGGCGGGTCCAGTCCGTCAGCCGCGGGGGTAATGCCAAAGGCCGCTCGGTCCTTTCCTCCTCCGCTCTGCGCGTCTCCCGTTCCAGCACGTATTGCTTCCAAGACCAATCCTCAATCTGCTCCTCCACTTCTGCCATGCGCGCCCGGAAGGCCTCTCTCGGCTCCCGCCTGACGAAGTGCACCGGGAGTGTTCCCACGGGTCCATCGTCTCGCCAGTACTGCGCTCTGTAGAGCACCTTCTCCTGCCACGTGCAGATGGTGGCCCCCACCCGGTACAGTAGCTCCATGCCGATCAGGAGGTCGAAATCTTCCGATGGCGAGATGCCGCAGCGCATCCGGATTCGGCATTCGTCTTTGGTACCTGGCCGCAGGATTACTTCGACTGGCATGCGAGTGCAGGGCATCCACTTCGGCTCTCCTCCTTCCGCCGTCATGACCAGAATGCCCCGCGTGATGAGCCGATTCGGCTGATCCAGCTCCAGCCTCCGGGCTAGCCCTTTGCCCAGGAGGATGTGGTGCGCCCCAGTGTCGATTATGGCCTGCGCCACTGTCACTCCTCCCACCGTGATGGCCCCCTTCTCGATGGTCAATACTGACGGCTGACACACCATGCGCTCCTTTGGGTGCCTCTCCGAAGACAACTCTTGCTCTGGCTCCGCCGCGTACCCACGCAATCGTCGCACTCTCGGAGCTGGCAGCTGCCGCCTCTCTGCCCCATCGCTCCGGAGTCGAATCTCGTCTCTCTGCCGCGGAGCTTGCACCATGAGCACGAATTCTGCCTCGCCGCTCTCTTCCTCTTCTTCCCTTGCCAGCATGGCGGGCTCCTTCCGTGCCGTACCCTCCAACTCCCGGATCCTCGCCTGTAGTACCCGCAGCTGTGCCTCCAAATCTTCCTTGCTTCTTGGTCCTGCCGAACCCGGCCTTCTGCTGTAACACTCGGCGGTCCGATGTCCACGCCTTCCGCAGTTCTCGCACGTTGGGAGCTCGGGGCATTCGCGGCGTAGGTGCCCTTCTTCCTGACAGTGATCGCAGCGCGGTGACCTGCTGCAATCCCGCTGCAGATGTCCCTCCTGCCCGCACCGATGACACTTGCGCGTCTCCACATCTCGCCCCCCTCGCCTGCTGGAGGACTCCCCGGTCGCCACCGCCGTCCAGGCTGATCTGCGCCGCTCTTCGGCCTGCATGCCGCCTCTCTCCATGTCCCACAGGCGGAGCCCCAGCTCATGCTTCTTCGCCAGCTCGTAGGCGTACTCCAGCGTCGCCGAGGGTCCCAGCTCGAATACCCTTCCTCGCACATCGTTGGCAACCCGCTCATCCAGGCTGTTGAGGAATTTGGCCACCAGTCTCCACTCATCTCGGCATTCCATGTCTGCCGCGAGCTCGCGCAGCCGTCCATACGTTGCCAGCAGTGATTCCCCCGACTTCCTCTTGAATGACGCGAACTCCTTTACGCGTTCTGGAGTCTGCACCGGAAAGTGTCGCTTCAACGTCTCAAAGAACAGCGTCACCACATCCCAGGTCACTCCTGAGGCTTGCGCCGGCTCGCTCAGCATACGCTCTAGTTCCATGCCATACGCTGTCTCTGCTTCTCCTGTCACCGTGTTCGAAAGCCCTCGGAAGAAGTCTTCCGGCTCCAGCCCATCCTTCATCCAGCGATACTGCGCGTTGCGAATTTGCATCATGTAATTCTTCAGGCTGCTACCCACGCTCGGCGTGCCTGCGAAGCGTTCCGGGACCTCAATCTTAGGCAGGGCCGTGTATCGCACGATGCCCGCCCGTGTCGCTTCAGTCGCCTGATGCTCTGACATGGAAAGCCGTCTCATGCGTCCGAGTAAGTCGCCGTCAGTGCCGGTCTCCCTCGGTGCTTCTTCACCGCGCGGCGGAGCCCTTAACGCAGGTGCTTCTGCCAGCGGTCTTCCCGTCGAACTTTCTCTCGTATCTCGGCCTTCGCTCGGCAGGTCGCCCATGCTGTGCCTCCGATGCGGAGCCGTGTATGTCTCCCGGTGGGCGCCGGACTCCGTTCCGCCCTCCTGTGTGCCGCCACTTCCATCCGTCACGTCGCCTGCCCGCCATCCTGGCGTAGCCATCGACGCCGTTACCGGTGGCGGCTCGTACCGCTTCCTCGATCGTGTCTGCATGCACTATCCTCGGCTCCGTGATCTAGAGATTTTCTTCGTTGTATGTCAGAAAACCTCCTCACTACTAATCGCCGACTGCTGGTTCCCTGGCGTGCTCATGAGCTCCCGCGGTTGATTGACAGGATTACATTTGAGCAAAAGGGAAACATACAACGAAGCACTTCGCACTAGGGTTTCACTACGCCTATGTACAGCTGGATGCTACTGCTACTCCCCTAGCCTGGTGCTTCAGCAACACACATCACAAATGGGCGAGGCTCGGGGGTGCCGAGTCGTATGTACAGACCGCAGGCGGTTTGGTCCTGCATGGGCTCTTGCACGAGCCTCTTGCCAGCTGCACGCTTGGCTTGCATGACACTCTGCTGCTGCTCCTGCCACCTGGCGGTTCAGCTGTGCTTGTACGCGTCAACAGCGCTCGCCCTGCCACGGAAAAGAAACACTCCGCACACAAAAGAAACACGCGAATTTCCACCCAGCATACGCACGCAATACACCCATGCCGATATGGTACAAATATGTACACTGCAGCCCTTGCCTCGGCTGCATTCCTCTGTGCTCTCTCCCTTGGGCCCCGTTCTGTACTTGTGCACCCCAGCCTTCCTGCCCCTTTGCTGCCTGCTCTCCCACTCACACTGTCTCGGATATTATGCATCCTTCTCAGGCTCAGAATACCGCGACAAGGAAAAATATGGAAATGAGAAATATGTCGAACGTCGGCGTACTCTCACACTGGAGGTGCCGGTTCTGGGGGTGCTGCTGCTGGTGGTGCTGGAGCTGGTGGTGCTGGCGTTGGAGGCGCTGGCGCTGGATTTTAAGGAGCTGCTGTAGGCGCTGGAGCTACTGGTGCTGGTGGCACTGCGCAGCCGCGACTGTTCTTCGCTCCGCCGTCACCGTCGTCTCTGCCACCGCCCGACTCCGTGCTTCACCAGGTCCTTAGCCTCCCGTCTTAACTGACCTCCCGTTACAGCCAGGCTCCCCACTGCCTGCTCCTCCTCCTTACACTGAGCAGACTGACTCGCTTACAGAGCGTCGTGAGCCTGCATCTCGTCCTGCCTCGCCTGCTCGCACTAGTTGCACTAGTCGTCTTGTTCCCCGTGAGCGTCCGCCTCCTGTCCCTGGCACTTCGTCCTTCCTCTGTTCCACAGCGTGTTCCCCTGCCGTCTCCTCCTGAGTCCTCTCTTCCGCACGTTCCAGACCCTGAGTCTGACCTGGTTCGTGCTGCTCACCCTACTGTCACGCGTCTGTTAGCCACTGTTGTCACTGACCCGTCGTTTGAGTCTGCTGCTGCGTCTGCCTTAGTCGTTGAGCTTGTTGACTTTGCTGCTGCTTGTCGTCTCGACTACGCTGCCAGTCTAGTTGCTGAGTCTGAATCTGTCTGTCCTCCGTCCGTCGAGGGTGAGTGTGCTCTAGGCACGGACGTCCTTGAGGATAGGCAGGAGGACTTTGAGTGTCTTGCGGCTACTGTACCTCATCTCGTGGCCATGCTGCTTGCCCCTGAGGGAGACCCGGATGCACCAGACATCCCGACCTCGCGCTCTTACGCAGAGGCGATCACGGGTGAGTACTCCTCTCAGTGGCAGGCAGCCATGGACGCAGAGATGGCTTCCTGGAAGTCCACAGGCACTTACATCGATGAGGTTCCCCCTCCTGGGGCGAACATCGTCGATGACATGTGGATTTTCAGGGTGAAGCGGCCGCCGGGTTCTCCGCCTGTCTTCAAGGCTCGTTACATTGCACGAGGCTTCAGTCAGCGACAGGGAGTTGACTTCTTCCAGACCTTCTCCCCCACCCCGAAGTTGACCACTCTTCGGGTGCTGCTGCACGTTGCCGCTCAGCGTGACTACGAGCTTCACTCTCTAGACTTCAGCACAGCTTTCTTACAGGGCAGTCTGCACGAGGAGATCTGGCTGCGCCGCCCACCTGGCTTCACTGGGTCGTTCCCTTCTGGTACCCAGTGGAGCCTCCGGCGGCCAGTCTACGGTCTCCGCCACGCGCCTCGTGAGTGGCACGACACACTGAGGACGACACTTGCGGCTCTTGGGTTTGCCCCTTCCACTGCTGACCCGTCGCTGTTTCTACGCACCGACACTTTACTGCCGCCGTTCTTGTCAGAATCCCAGTCACTAACCACTGGGATAAAAAGGCTTGTTTGTATAGCGGGTGAGTGCGCCCATAACCCCCCAGGCCGACATGCCTGTAACCCTTCCCTAGGATCATCGGGGATCTCCAGTGGACCTCTGACACCCCCCCGCACTGGGATGCCCGAAGTGCATACACCGGGATTCGAACCCGAGACCTTCGCTCTGATACCATGTCAGAATCCCAGCCACTAACCACTGGGATAAAAGGGCTTGTTTGTATAGCGGGTGAGTGCGCCCATAACCCCCCAGGCCGACATGCCTGTAACCCTTCCCTAGGATCATCGGGGATCTCCAGTGGACCTCTGACAGTTCTACATCCTCGTGTACGTCGACGACTTGGTCTTTGCCACTGCTGACACTGAGGCACTCGCCCTTGTGAAGTCGGAGTTGCAGAAGAGACACACGTGCACAGACCTGGGTGAACTGCGCAGCTACCTTGGTTTGCAGATCACCCGGGACAGAGCACGACGCACCATCACACTGACTCAGTCACACATGGTACAGCAGGTCCTTCAGCGCTTCGGCTTCACCTGGTCCTCGCCACAGTCCACTCCTATGGCTACCGGTCACTCGCTCTCAGCTCTGCCTTTGGATGAGTCCGTAGAGCTGAGTGGCCCGTACCCAGAGCTTGTGGGCTGCCTCATGTACCTGATGACCTGCACTCGACCTGACCTTGCGTACCCCCTTAGCATCCTGGCTCGCTACGTTGCGCCTAGGAGACACCGGCGAGAGCACTGGGAGGCTGCTAAGAGGGTGTTGCGCTACTTGTGCAGTACATCGGGCATGGGGCTCGTGCTTGGAGGATGGGGTGAAGTGGTCCTCACTGGACACTCGGACGCGTCTTGGGTTGATGACCTGGCTACGCAGCGGTTGTCACAGGGTTACACTTTCAGCCTTGGCTGTGGCTCTGTTTCTTGGCGGTCTACCCGCTCGTCTTCTGTTCTCAGCTCCAGTTGTGAGGCTGAGATCTACGCCACAGCCATGGCTGCACAGGAGTTACGCTGGCTCACCTACCTGCTGACCGACTTGGGAGAGCGGCCTCGTTCTCCTCCAGTTCTGTACGTAGACAACAAGGCTGCTATTACCTTGTGTCAGGAGCACAGACTGGAGCACAGAACGAAGCACATCGCTCTGCGTTACTTCCTTGCTCGAGAGTTGCAGCAGCGTGGTCAGCTTCGTGTTGCTTACGTGGCCACCCGGTCCATCACTGCTGATATATTCACCAAGGCACTTTTATCTGGTGATCATCAGCGCTTCTGTACTATGCTAGGCCTTGTGCCTGTTTCGTCTCACTTGCTCACTTCGTGACTTTGCTTGTACTGTGATTTATATATATACCTGCATGCTTGCTCTTGCTAAGTAGTGATCACTGTACTATTGTTGTTGCATATATACCTTTGCATGTGAACTGGCCTTGTGGCCCTTTGCTTGTGCTCAGACTGTGTGGTGACATTGTGATCCACCCTGAGCTTGCTTTGCTTTTCTTGACTGGTCTTGTGACCTCTTGTTCTCCCCCACTTTGCCTATGGGGGTGTGTCAAACTATATCTGTGCTAGTTCTGTGTAGGCTATAGTGGGGTAGCCCATATGGGGTACAACCCAAAGTTAGGGTTAGTACTTGTACCCACATTTCATTCAATGCACTCATTCCTGCTTGGTCAATTAGCTAGCCTACTAGGTTGGTAGGCTCTGATGTAGTCATTGTTGCTTTTGCTATTGCAATCATTGCTATAATGCAACTTTCCCTAGTAAAACACTTGCCAATTCTCTCTATGAATGAGCAAGTAGAGAGGACGCTAAGGAACGCTAGGATCACTCACATAACCGTGCCTTTCTCTGTAGTCCGCATGGTGCGGTGAGCATGGACGGCTCCGCAAATTACTTTTGAAGTAGCCAACTTAGGTCCACATTCTCTAATTTGCGAGTAGGTTGACAACACGTACAGACCATGAAGCATACTCCCCAAGAAACCTGCGGTGTAGTAGATAAGTTGGAGGCACGAGAGGCTGATGCGAGGAGACGCCACGCAGGTGGCGAGTTCGGGCCGGTGCTCCCTTGGAGGTGGTTCTTCCAGGGATCCGTGCACAGTGGGCGACGGAACACCCTTCTCGATCTGCTTCTCCTCGACCGGTGCGAAGTGAAGGCGACGTCAATGAGGAGGTTGATGGTGATGACCAAGTCGATGGCAGTGAAGGCATGAAAAAGAGAGGAGTGATTAGGCGTCGGTGGGGAACCAGGCACGAGTACAGCGGTCGACAGCGGTCGTAGGCAGCTCGCGTGTCGACGTTGACAGTCTACGTCGCTCACCTCAACAAAACGGTGGGAGGCCCACGTCGACAACCCATGTGACGGCAGGTGGGATCGCGCCGTCGTATTACTACTTCAAATTTTCACCGGCCAAGATCGCCGTGCCTACACCGCTGCAAGGTCGACATGATCTCACGACGTGGAGGGAATCGATTGAGCCTCAGCTGGAGATTGCCGGACTGAAGGGATTCGTCGACGGCGACATGCCAACGCCAGACAAGGACGATGTCGAGCTGCG